GCTGAAGATAAATAAAAATGAAATTAGCGCAAGCAAGTCGCCATATTTAAAGTTCCATTTTCTGCTATCTGATTGGTCAATTTCAGAATAACCAATTGGGGGCGTGGTATGTTTACTAGTTCCAGTATTCTGAACGAGTAAAAAACCAAAAACGCGCAAAAGAGCGGGAAAAGATTCCAATATGGCGTCGAAAGAGGAGTCGGAGAAGACAGCAGACGTCAAGTATTGTCAAATATTGAGTATAAATGAAATTAATTCTGCCTGTTTGTTGTATGAAGACCGTGCTATACGAACTTGGGGCAAGTAAGACACATTTAGAATGGGTGCCCAACATCGTTTTCCTGTTGAACATCAGAACATGTGGTGCTTGTCAGCTACTCAGCTTGACACTTCACAGCTCAATGTATAAATGTACTAGCAGTCTTGTGAACCTTAAAAATTTTAAACATTTTAAAACAAGGAGATTTGGTTTTTTAACCGTGAGATTTTATTAAAAACTGGGAGAGCAAATGCCAAAATTAAAGTCATGCAGTGTTCAATCATTTCCCCTTCATTATTTCATTCTCTTCAACAACTTTTTACTAAGATGGCTTTTCGAGATCCCATGTTATATCTCATATCCTTATGATCTACTTATTGCTTATTGTGCAAAAGTGGATAAAAAAGCCAAACACTTGTAGTTCACACAGTATATAAGTTTTAGCTTGGACATGCATAAGTGATTTTCACTTGATTAATTACTATTTCTTGCCAGATACAGTATTTGAATCTGGAAAATATTCCACTACTTCCTACAGGCAAAAATTAAATAAAGGTGTGACTTTTAGCTCTTAAATGACACCTATAATTTGTGTCCTACCAATAAAGCGTTGGGTCATTCCAGAAAACATCCATACCACCCCCACAGAGGAAATAGGAAGTTAACCCCCCCTACCACCTTCGGATGTCCTAATGCATTTACTATTATCAGAAACAATTTTGTCTCCCCTCCCCCTCCGGACAGCAGAAATTTCCTCTGTGGGAGGAGTATGGATCTTTTCTGGAACGACCCATTACCAAATACGAAGGAGGTTAAAGAGGTTTATAGTTGAAAACGTATTTTTCCACCATTGCCATTGGGAATTAAAAGCAATTTCTGCAAAACTATTGTCTGTGTGATTGACATTATAGTTTTGGATTCAAAATTAAGAACTTGAAGAATTAAAATTTTTGCAAAACTGGATGTTTACAGACTGCATTCGTGATCAAAGCCAAACATTTCTCAACTGATAGGAATTGAGCTTTTAGTTAGGCAAATGTGTGAAAATTGGTAGAACATATAACTCCTAATGGCAATGCCATGGGCTGATAAATGCAATTTCTACTGGCCACTTTAAATTGGATTGTATAAACAAAAAAGATAAAAGCCTGATCTTTATTGCTATATTAGTGTGAGGAAAATAAATCTACTCTAACCTTAACATGCCAATGTTTGATTACTTTTTCTTGGATACATGCTTTATAAATGTATGTCTGAATTTTTACAACACTTCATATTGGAACATATCCTAGTAAGGGAGCAGTCATTATTAATGCTGGGGGGTGGGGCAGAAGATATTTCTCATATCATGATAAATTTTTCATGGCCCCTCATTCTTTCCAAATAATTTTTCATTGTCCCCCTTAAGAATATTATTTATTTTCAGCCCCCCACCGTGGTCCACCCTCTTTTCCTAGATGAGGATGTTTCCTGTATAGCTTAATTAGTTGTAGCCTGGGTACCTCCTCCCCACAGATTGTATTTTAGAGATACAGGTAATTGGATCTCTATAGGCATTTGGGAGTTTGTGTTGTGCAACTTTCTTATAAGCCTTATTTATATTTACAGTTAATAGTAAGTAGTTATTGGTTTTTTGATCTTCACAGGTCTGGAAAGTAGACCTTACCATGAAATATTGTACAGTAGGTGCATGTATATAGACAAAATAGTGTGTGCGGTGTTTTGTGTATTTTCTTTGTCGGTTCATGCACATGTCTGCATGGGTCGGACAATATTTGGACTGCTTTTGCCAATCAATCCTCACAATTTTCTATATATTAATAACAATCCATAATAAATACCACAAAACTATTGCCATACTGTTCAGTCTAAAAAACTTATTTATAAATTACAATCCTGATAGCATGGTCAAATTTTTGCCCATGCAACCCTGTGGAACACGCCTTTGATTTGTATGACATCTACCTCATTCCAAACAGACAAACAGACTTTTTTAACCTATAACTTAACTTTAGATACACAAAAGCTGCAACGCAAACCACACACAGCCTACATTTAGCATAGGGTATATAACATACTTATAATTACACAATATTTCACAGTATGGTCTGCCTCACAGACCCTGTGAATACCCATGCACAAATGGTACACAAAATACTTAACGCTTAGAGAAGTCTTGTATACTCATTTATCTGGGGATATATAGGACATAGCAATCTACATGACAAAATAAATTAGTTATCACATACTTCACAGGATAGTCTGCTTGCAAGAGAGTAATGTACATCATCATATCGCACCTATATCTATCATTAAGAAATAATTTTACACAACATGTGCATGAACCGACAAAGAAAATACACAGAATACCGCACACATTAAATACATGCGCCTACTATATGTACAATATTTCACGGTAAGGTCTACTCCAGACCCTATGAAGATTAAAGAAACCAATAACTGAATAAGGCTTATAAGAAAGTTGCACAACGCAAAATCCCAAATGCCTGAATAGAGGTCCAATTACCTACTGACTGTATCTCTAGAATACAATACAAGTATGTGGTATTGAAGTTTATATTACAGTGAATTGGTGATGTTTTATAATTATTTTTGGTAGCCCAAATAATGACTGCTCCCTAACTAGTACTTATAGTCTTAATTTATATTCCTAGGGTGATTTCCCATGATATACACACACAACAAGCTATAGTTATGGATGACGCTGGAGAGAAATTATCTGTCAATACTGCAAATATTGAGCCATATGGTTTTACTCTAGGACTCTATTATAATCTCATAGGAGATATGGTCAAAAGTGAAAAATCTATTATGACATTACAAGTACGTACTGTGACATGTATAGATGAATTGGATATTGATCTGTTTGTGAAAGCATTGGAACTAAGACGAAAATTTCTTAATGAAAAAGTTACGTGAAAGACAGAAAGGATTTGAGATTGCACTGTACCACATCTTTAATAATAAATGAAACTTCTCACACCTGAAAAGAACTAAAAGAAAAACAGATGATAGAAAAGACAGAGAGATAATGGGAAAGGCAGATAGATGTTGGAAAAGACGGATATGTGATCACGGACAGACGATGGAATGCTTGTCTTTCCTTATATAGGGTTGAAGAAGCATTGCCAGTTATTTCCAGATTGACATACTTACTAGGCTTACCTATAAAGCGTCCGATCTGTTTCACACCCCCATTTCATTGCCCTACAAACTACAAATTAATTCTTATCTCGCTTTCTTTCTTTTTTTATACTGATCAATGGTTTCTATCCCAGCTTATAACGTCTAAGGTCGTAGTTAAATCAATTAGAAAAAGCTCGTCTTTGTCAGACTTTGACAACACAAGTGACACAACACCTTGCAGTTTATAAGGCTGAATTGCGTGCTACTTCACAAATTAGAGACTAAACTCCAAAGCATATATAGGTTATTTTACAAAAATGATTTAATAAGTTAAGAAACGTAAGAAAATTATTTAAGACAAGCTGGAATAAAAGTTTCAAAATATTTCTGTGTATTAGCTTTATAGGTATTTGAAAGTCACGAGTTTTCCGGCTCAGTTCATAATTTAGGGAAAGATACTCTGGTAAAATGTGAGTGTTTGTGCTGGGGGTCTTTGATACTTTGATGGAATATTATAATTTTGAGCAGGCATTTCTACGACGTTCGCTCAGGGTCTTTTGAAGCGATCGCCTTATATGATAATCCTGGGAAATCGTTGACATGATACTCCTATGAACCCGTTCAATGGCTGCGCTAAGATACTCAGGTAGGGCAAAATGGAAAACCTCATAGCTGCACATATCAGTCGAATACTGGTCTTACGCAGTTACGCATGTACATGCAGTACAATGAAAAAGATACGTTTATTGCTTCCTTGATGATTTCGGCAATGCGTTAGACCCAATTTCACTAATTGTTCGACCCAACACTTTCGCGTGTTCAAGGTTACCGGAACTTACTGTATATGAATATACTGCTTTCTTGACTGATTGAATCATCCGTTTTTTGCATTTAGAAACTAGAGGTTGGAATTTATTCTAGGTTGACCTTGTCCCTAATTGAAGTGCACCTATTTAGATCATATTGTTCTAGCCTTTTGTTAGATTGTTCCAGAGATTCACAGTACCTCGTGTCCCCTGTATAACTCCGTATAACCATGATAATAGTGCTCTGGACTGTAACTTTGATCCTGAAAATTACTTCAAATTATTTGTTTCAAATGCCCGACTATTCTATATCTGGCTTCCTCGTCCTGCCCTTGATATTTACAGCGTACATTAATTTTGTTGCAATGTTTTGCTGCCGTCTGTATCGGGCCTAGGAATTAGCAAAAAATCAGGAGGTTTTCATGTTTTGCCGACCTGCAAATTTTACATTTTTAGTAACTGTGTCCATCATCCATAGTCTGTCTTTTCCATCATCTGCCTGTCTTAATTT